GGCTTAGTGAATTTAATACTCACTTTAATACAGATAAAAAGGACAGTGAATAGCGGTCATCTTTATGGCGAGCTTATGTGAATGGATTGCAGAACATGTGGATTGGACGGTAAAAAGACAAAAATTAAGAGCTGCAAACGATATGGAGTTGTGGAGAGCCATGATCGCCCACATCTTGAAGGGGCACACTGCATAAAAATGTCAAAGAATAGATGTAACCATCCGTAATTAGTGAAACGACTATACCATGTCACTATTTGTGACTGCGTGTCAAGTGGCGTGGTATATGAATCAATTCCAGGCAACTCGTATCGATCCGAATAGCTTTTGGAAAATGAAAGCGGATGAAACAAGAAATGGCTGTTGAATATAAACAGAACAATTTAGCTGTCCCGTTCACGGTTTGCCGTTCTGAGAGTCGCAAAAATGCTTACGCGGCTTCGTTGCATGATGAATTATGTAATTAATTTTCCTTTTTATTTTCGTTTCTCTATCATTAATTCCTTAGTTCCACCAGTTCAGACCTTCACAGCTTGACCCTCCAAATAAACAGGGTTGTCTCATTCTCATTTCCTCCATGGTCTGTTTGGTAAGAAGGAATTTCTACTCGGACAGCTTCTTCTCCAGAACTGTGGAACAGATTCCGGAGAGGATGCTTTCCCGATAACTTCTGGTCTAGTGTTAGCTGTTATCTATCTTCATATACTTTTATTTCTTACCTTTTACCCCTCCACCCATAATAACATACCGTAACCCTCTACCTTGAATGGTTCTTAGGGCTTTTGTATTGGGAGAAGAGCTGATCCAGTTCAGTGCCCGCTGAGGATTTTTGAATGTCGAGTCGAAAGCTAAACTAGATTTTTATGTGTAGAATATAGCAATTTTTAAGGAATTAATGGATGTTTTTAAATTTTTAATCCGATTTGGTTAGTTGATGGTTTTTAGCGGCATATCAACCTCTATGGGTTATTTAATGCCGAAATCTAAATATTTTGAGCACAATTTCATAAGTTCAACTAAATATATTTTGACGGAAAGTGTATGCTTCCAATTACAGATAAAATGTATTGCTGGTCATTTTGCCATCAAAATGTATTGCTGGTCATTTTGCCATCAAAATGTATTGCTGGTCATTTTGCCATCAAAATGTATTGCTGGTCATTTTGCTATCAAAATGTATTGCTGGTTTGGATGTTCACTATTTGTCTGTAGCTGGGACCTTAGATCAGGGTGATCCTGGAAGAAACAGTCATGTGTTATATTTAAATAGGAATTTTCTTCAATAAAATCCCCACCCCCAAGCCCAATCGGCGGCGTGAAAGTAATCTCTAGTTTATTCACCGATAAGACAGAATGCGTGGTTATCAAAAAGCTGAGCCCAACAGAAATTACAGAAATGTTACATAAATTTAAATATCTGGGAATTGTTCCAACTGAGAACAGAAAGAGCGACACTGAGATCCGAAGACATAATGGGATGACCAAAGATGAATTCCAAAAGCTAGGCAGAATATTAAGAAACAGAAAAAATTTGTTAGGAACAAAGAAAAGAGTACTGAACTATTACGTGATATCTGTCCTCCTGTCGAATGTCGGACAATTTCCTCAAAGACAAAGACTTGAAGCAACAGAAATGTCGTTCTACAGAAAGATGCTGAGGCTATGGGCCGAACATATGAGCAACAACGAGGTTTTGGAGAGAATGGAAACAAAGAGGTTATTTAATATCAGGAAGAGGCGGTTAAAATTTCGCAGGCACGTAATGAGAAAGGAGAGCTTGGAAAACCTGATACGGATAGAGGGACAGAGGAAAACAGCGCGTAACATACTTGATGGGCATGAGTAAATGGATGGTAGCGCAGGGTCTGGGAGAAATAAGACAAAATTTATTCATACCTATAAGGGAGAGGGAGTGGAGAGCCATGATCGCCTACGCCCTGAAGGGACACTGCACATAAAAGTTCACACGAGTCAGCCAACCAACCCTAATGTGTTGGGCGATCTATTCGTCTGTCGATATATTGGTTACAATTCTCAATCAAATCACGACCAACGCTAAGTGTTGATAGAAAGTCTGCCCAAGGCGCCAGGATGCCGGGAGAATCAAAAGAAATTTAAATTATGAGAGCTCTTGTTTACGATAGCCGATATGTTCAAAGAAATCTATTAATTAATTTCAGGAACACCTTTTGGCATTTAATTCTAAGGGAAATTTTATTGCCCAAACTTCGGCCGGCCAACCAGCACAACAACGAAATATCCGCGACCGCCTACTCGCAAGGATCGTCGGGACGGGAACAGATCGCTGAATACCAAAAACAAGGTTTTTACAAATCACGATCGAAATTTTTAGAATAGGAAATGCTTCCCACTGAAATAATTTAGAAGCTTGATCCTGAAGATTCCAAACACTCGGCACCTCCCTCCTTGCACCAAAAAGGAAAGGTTGGTAGATACATAAACCAGGCTGAGAACATTTGGGGAGATTTCTTTTTTTTTTTTTTTCATTGTGCTGTATGCACAGTACGGAGGAGTACTGGATAGCGGCTCGAACTGAGAAATCGGAGAGCCGAGTTCGAATTCAAGTCGAATCCATTACATTCACTTGTGCTAATACCCTTGGGAAAAGTATGAATCCTCTTCTTCTCCCCCCAGCTATGGGTAAATAGCAGGAAAGACCGGGTTCTATAGCTTTGGATGGCAATTGGTCTATCGCAGGAAAAAAAATCTGCCTAGTCAGTCATGTATCGAAAGATACATGATCGCTTAAGCGTGTATCACGCATGGCACATAACTGACTGACTGTACGAGCAGCACCTAACATTATTGCTCATCGCTACGAATGTGCAAAATGAGAATTCGAGGAGCCAAGTTCGAGTTCGTCGCATTCACTTACGCGCAAATACCAATGAGGAAAGTATGACTCCGTCTCTTCTGCCTCCAACTATGGGTTGAATAGCGGGACAGACTGGCCTTGTTTGACAACTAGTCAACCACAGAAAGAATTGGCAACTTATTGCAGGAAAATCTTCAAACTTTAACATGCTTTGAGTCAGCATTGAAGAGTAGGCTCTTAAAATTAACGTAAGAATAATATCTCGTGTTGATGCGGAATATCGTTTTTTGTTTCTGTTTTTTTTTTTTCAAAAGCCACTCAAGGTAGATGGTTATTGAATGAGTACAAAAAAAGTCTGCCTTTCTGAGGTATCCCTTCAAATAGTGGGCGATCATGGCTACCCACAACTTCCTTTAATTTGTAACTGTTAGTAAACTGTCTTTTGCTCTCTTAATCCGTTCTGCCAGCCATTTACGCAAGCTGGTTAAGTAGGTTATTCGGGTTGCAGAATTAATTTCAACTTCACCCACCGCGACACGAATAAGTCCGAACTTTTATTGTCGATATCTCCAAAACGGAAGATTTTATCAAAATTTCTTTATTATTTTCGATTTAAACATGTACATTTACACCTAAATAGAACTATTCGCGAAATTTATTAGAAACTAAGCGTGTGTCTTGAAGTGCAAATTACCCTTTTGAGGTTCCGAGTTGAAATTAATTCTGTCACCTGGTTATTCGCTGCTTTCCTGTGTCTCTCTTGCTGTGAGTATCAAAATTTCTAAGCTCTTTGCTTATTATATGTCCTAGAAAATTCTCTTTATGATTCCAAGTGTAAGTGTCCTTTATGTTTCCATTTTCTCTAAAACTTCTTTGATTACATGTTTGGTCGATGGTATTCTCAGCATCCTTCTGTAGAACCACATGACATTGTCTAATTTTCCAACATACATTGCAATAAGTAACCGATGTTACATAAACCTTCAGCACTTTTTTTTTCTTTTGTTCCAACCAAATCCTTCTGCAATAACTTAATTCAGATTTTGGAATGTATTTTTCGCTTCGAATTTCGTGTGATATTTGTCGTTGCCACGGTAAAACGGAAGAAAGTTTTCTTAAAATATAAGAAAGTGTTATGTAGTGAGAGACATTGAAACAAGAAGGGTTAATACCAAAAACCCTTGGAAAGAATTGAGGATTTAATTCACACATAAACGAACAGTTTGAACAGCGGGAAAGTGACCCAGACTTAGGGGGAAATGTTGATTGACACACAGCTGCAAATGCAAGCTGTGAAGAGAAAATTTCATTTTTCGTAAACAGCGAATTTGGAGTTGATTCCCCTGGTCGAAAGTCGAGTTGAAATACCAGGAAGGGTTGGATAAGCCACCCACGCTCACTGAGGAGATTTAGTGAGAGGTAATAATATGAGAGAGTGGAAGAAAGGAATTCCCCAGAATTATCGAATTCTCTTACTTCGCCAGTTTGGGCAAAAGTTCATAAATACGAATGCGCGAAGCGAAGTCAATAAAAGAGATGGAGACGAGACAGGAGAGAGGCCCACGTGATTATATGCCGACGAAAGCCTCCGACTTCAGCCTTGTGCCAAACTTTACCAACAACATCAAACCAGACTTTGCCAACAACGATAATATCACTTCCGATTTAGACGCGGGTTGGGCTAATAATTAACTGCATGCGAACTGTGAGATAACCAATTAATGAGTGATATAAAAACTGTATTTACTTTTTGTTCAATTTATTAGAGTATTTTTTCCTGTATGTCTTCTCCCTGATTGGACCAGCTCGACACTAGGATATCTACGACGATTCGGTCTTGGTTGCCTTAAATCGCAACGTGGGATAGGACAGGTCTGAGATCGAAGCGATCTTCAACGATCAGCCGCGTTGTTGGAAGTCTTAGATGACCGGGAAGGGTGTTGTACGATTACATTCAATGTCGCATTTTGCACCCGCTGTTAAAGCACTTCCTAGATATTTAAATGTTTGTACTTGCTTAATTTTAGCTTTTCCAACTCGTAGTTTTCAACATGGGCTATTCCTTTAGGTGACAATTGATGTCTAATCTTTCTTCTTGTTTTCCTTTACTACCTTTTTGTTAGGATTTCTATTTTCTCTCGGGATCGCCTTACTGTAAAGAGGGTTACGACCACACCACGTTGAAACACAGTTTTCCGTAAGATCTCCGAAGTTAAGTAACGTCGAGCTTGGTCAGTACCTAAATGGTTGACCGTTTGGAAATAACAGATGTTGTAACCTTGTATGTGCGGCTGGTGTAATGGATAATGGCTCGGAATTGTTAATCGGAGAGCAGTTCCAATTCCAGTTTGTCTCATTATGTTCACTTACGCGCAAATACCCTTAGGAAAGGCATCAATCCACTTTTCTCCCCCCGGCTATAGGTTAATTAGTAAAAATTGTATGACTAAACCATTATCTTTTTTTAAAAAAAACTATAAAACTGTTACACTGTAAATTTTTTTCTGACTTTAAATAACTGGCAAAGGATTCAATTATTCGATTAGATCATTTCAAATTCTCTCCGAAATATTATATATGTTATTTGAATCAATTTTACAGTATTCTAAAACGTCAAATGATACTGATTGATAATCAAATGAATTTAGAAACCTTTTAACTTAATATAATTTCTTTTTATAGAATAATTTCACTGAATTATTTACTCAAATTATCCCCTTAAAGATGGAGGTGTCGAAGGAGCATTTAAGGCACATAATGCTTAATGAGTTTAGAAAAAGGGAACACAACAGCGAAGCAACTCTGAATATTCATTCAGCTTATGAAGAAGAATAGTCGAATGAAAGAACTTGTAGAAGATCGTTTGTCAAATTCAAAAGTGGAAGCCTTGAAGATGAAAACCGAACAGAACGTCCAGTTGATTGTGATGATGAGCTTCTTGTGGCATCGCTTGAAGAAAATCCTGCAATATCAGTTGAAGAATTGGCAATGAAGCTTCGTTCAAACCATACAAATGTTCATCGTCATCTTCAACAACTTGAAAACGTTCCTAAACTTGGGAAATGGGTCCTTTATGAATTATCTGAAGTCAACCGCAAATCCCGACCTGGCATCTTTTCATTCTCGTAAACTCATCTCACCCTTTTTGGATAGAATTGTCACCGGTGATGAAAAGTTTTTTTATCAAAATGTTAAGTCGTAGACTGTGGTTTGGTAATGGAGAAAAGGTCCAAACACAAACGAGAAGGGAACTTCATGCGCAGAAGATTTTTCTCTTGATTTGTTGTGATTGCAAAGAAATCATTCACTTTAAGTTGCTACCAACTAATGCAACAATCAATGAGCAAGTCTACTGTCAGCAATTAGAGCGTTTGAACTCGGCTTTGAAAAAAAAAAAAGAACTGTTTTAGTGACTCGAATAAGCGTGGTGTTTCACCAGGACAATGCATGACCTCACACTGCAAAAATTCCACCCCAGAAGATTGAAGAACTTGGTTGGGAAAGAATTCCTTATTTCAATTTATTTTCCCGACCTTGCCCCTTCAGAATATCATTTGTTCTGTAGTTTACAGAATCATTTGAACGGATTAACTCTCAAAATCCACGAGGAGATCGAAATTGGAATTTCAGAGTTCTCTTCGAAACCAAAAGAGTTCTTTATTGGTGGAATTAAAAATCTCGTAAGAAGATGGAAGGTAGTCATAGATAATCAAGTAAACTACATTGATGAATAAATTACCATCAAATATAAGATTGGAAATCTCAGTCTTTCTTCAAAATCCGGACAGAACTTATGGGATTAACTGATAATATCCTTCTCAAATAAATCAAGCTTACCTAGCAGTTCAAATAGTTCTTTGTGACGTATTTTAGGAATCGCTAATGCATAATCTATAAAATATAGGTATAAATCCTAAGATGTATATATGTAGGATAAGTAAATGTTGACCCCAAACTTGAAGCTTTTTGAGTTGAACTTATTTCTTCCAACAGAATAGGAAGGGAATGAGTCGGGCTCTGAGTAGGTAACATGGTGGATTCCGGCTGTAAAAGTCTGTATTTGTGGAACAAAGGGATGTAGAATGTCTGAACATCTGTGATTAACATAGGGATAGTGTAGCAACAAGCTAACGGCGTTTCAGCAGTGGGGAAAGGGGTGGAGGGTGGAAAATTAATAAACGCTTTTGAACTCTAGAAAGTGAAGATTGTGTAGCTCAAGCCCAGATGTGACAGCAATAAAATATTTTTGATCTGATCTGACTCTGGAACTGACCTTTTTTCTGCATCTTTAGTGTGGATATACGAGTTCCACTTGATACCTGGTGTGAGATTGAGTGCCAATAGAGGTTCTAGGTATGAAGTGTCATTAGGAGTGCAACCTTTCATAATGACTAGAGAGTGGACTCGGTCTTTCTAGTGATGATGAAACATAAATCGCTTGTTTTTGGAGTTAATGGATGTTACAAGCCAGTTCCTCCTCAGTTGAGTTGGTAGAGATAAATTAGAAGATAGCCACATTTTTTAATTAAAAATAAAATGTTTAATTGACTTTTATATAATAAGCAAAACTCTTTCGTATGTATGTGCGCGCGCGCGCGCGCGCGCGCACACACACACACACACAAATTCATAATCTGAATCGATAGTGATATATGATACAAATTCCGGATTACGAATTTAAGTCTTTTTTTTTTTTTTTTTTTTAATTTTTAGAAATGAATTGTTAAAAGTATATTTTCCTTTTGGCTTTTGTAGGGTGATGTATTTGCATTGCAAACTGAACCCCCACTAAAAACACACACACACACACACACACACATATATATATATATATATATATATATATATATATATATATATATATATATATATATATATATTTTGTTAGTTAAAACTAGAGTCAGACAAACCTACCTACTTAGTGTTTACTCTTTTGAACCCTACCCGTATGTGCGCACACACACATTTTTTATATATATATATATATATATATATATATATATATAAGAATCATTGCATGTCATTATTGCCTGCTCTGAGTCAGAATAATCAGTTTTCCTTCCCACTCTGTCTGTCTGCCGGGCATCTTGCTGACCCTATCAAACACCATCCAGCATTTCCCAGCCATCTTTGTCTATCTCTGACTTTGGTTCCACCCACGATCTTTGGAAATCCCGCACCAGTTCATCATGATAGATTAGCCAATATTTGTCCGTTGCCAAGATAGTACTGTTTATGGAAAACCTCATACAGATAACCCACAAGTCGGATCCATGCAGCGATCTTTGTCAGAAGCATAAGTGACTTGGCTTTCTATGCAATTTCTCTCTGACAAACTCTACAGACACTTCTGTACGGTCAGGTCAGCAGTGAATAACTGCCAATATGATTCATTGTCTCCATACTTAAACGCATATATCTGATAGTGTGTGTATGTAATTTATATATATTCTAAAATTTGTTATATTTATAAGGGAAGAGTGCTCAATATCGGAAGCAGAACGTTTATAGATAAAGACTGTGCTGACATATGAATAGATACTGCATCGATGATTCGGTATTAATTCCTAGAGTCATTTTCTCATATATATATATCATTTCAATGCACCACAAAATAAGGTTGTGCGTGTACTAATTCAGATGTTAAATTTTTAGGATCCCTGTTACTACGCTTTGTTTTATCTCCTCATAAAATGAATATTTTTATATTAATTATCCTACCGTAAACATTTTTTCTATTTTTTTTTAATTAAAAATGTCTGATTTTTTTTCTGTTCGTTTTCATATATTTTCTAGAATTAAATAAGTCTTTTTACACATAAAACTCGTGTTTTGAAAGATAATGCTCGTAAATTTTTTTTTTCAATTTCACAGCCCATTTCAATAATATTGAAGCTAAATGTAGTTTTGTTTAATTCTCAGTTCCAGTCAAGTGATATGGCTGGAGCTCTTTTATTTTATATAAACGGTGCGATGGATAAATTATCGTCTAAATTACTAAACCATTATATTTACATTGACATCTCATTTTAACAGATATATTTACCAAACTTACACAAAAATATATTGAAGAAATTTACTTTTTCGTACTTCAATAAAATCGCCATTGGATTCAACTACGCCTTCCAGACGACTTCGGAATCTCTTGCAAATTTTCTGGACCGTCTCCTTAAGTTGGTGAATGATACCATAATCCTTGCCTTCAGTTCATCTTTGGTGTACAAGGAATGTTGTTGGCCTCTATCTCCACACAAAATAATCAAAGGGGTTGCAGTCTGGGAAGTTAAGTGGCCAGATGTAAGAGGTGATGTGTAGTCGCAGAAATTGTCACAGCTATAACTGGGTTCCCCTGCTTGTGTGGCAATGTGCAGAGTCCTGTTGCCAGACAGGCTTTCAACAGCCACTCTCTTGACCTATGGCAGTACTACCTCCTCAAGACACTTGATCTAGACCTCCATGTTGAGTGTGAGACCTTGTGAAAAGATTAATGTAGGCATAACGTCGCCATCACTAGTGATCACACCAAACACCTTCGTATTGCGCCATTAGACTCATCCAACTCTTTCCAAATCCTCTGAACTGTTCTCAGGTTGAAACCCAAACATTCTCAACTGTTTATATATTTGAGTTTCCGGTGCGAATGCCAAGCAGTACAACATACATTTCCAAATTTCTGGCGGAGTGCATTGCGTTATGGTGTTTTTTTCCTCTCACAGACGCTGCCCAACTAACCCTATTATACTGTGCAGTCGAAAAAAAACTGCGCATGCTTGAAATTAAAAATATAAAATGGCGACAATTTACCCATCACACCCTGTTTGTGTGTGTATATATATATATATATATATACACACACTAGCGAATGATATAATAGTAACGGCTTATGTGTGTGCATTTTTACATTCTCTATAAACATCGATATTCTGATTTACAGCATTGCATTTTCTCGTCTTTTATCTTCCTTGATAACATCAGTATATTTATACCTATCCGAATGAAATTCTCATCAAATATTCTGAACTCACTGATAAAAGCCGTTTGAGAATTATATATGATAACACTTTATAAAATTCTTAACGCCTGGTCTGACCGTACCCTGTAAGCTTTGCGCTTTATCAACGTGCGTAACTTGCTATTTCGAACCATTAGAGGAAAAAATCGTCGCGTTCAGTGCAAAGTTATTAGATAATATTATTGGGTTTTCATTAATCGCACCTAAAGCCTTTCATAAGACCAGAGCGAAGGTGAAAAAATATTAGTTTTCTGTTGATGTCTTA